GGGGGAGGGGAGGGGAGGAACATGTCTGACCCTGGGCTCCCAGCATCCCCTGCACCCAGGCTGGAGCCGCTCTCCCTGGGGCCTCTGTGCCTCCTCACACTCAGCAGCATTCCTTTGGTCTGTCCAAGGCCGCTGAGGATACAGCCAGGATCAAGGGAGCCGAGATCTGAGATCCTCTCAAGCTGCCGAAACCACACTCCAGATTCTCTGGGCCACCTGCCAAGGTGGATCCTGGGACTGCTGTGTGCCTGGTCGGGTGTTCTGAAGGGCTGCTGCTGCAGGACGACGGACATGCAGGGTCCTGAACCCAGTTTTTCAATCCAGAGTGCAAATAATGCAATGGTTTGTAACTTTGTAATGGGCACACTATTTTCATGGCATGTCTTCTGAAGAAACTGCCCAACGCAACCCACCATGCAGAGACGTTTTCATCACACGACTTCACCTTATGGCATGATTAATTCTGCCCTTTTTGATCTTTCCAATGAGTGGGTCCTGAGAGAAATGTCCTGGCGTGGTTAACAGAACTGGGGAGAATTGGGACAGGGTATACATGGATGAGAGGAACACGGGGAGTGGACATGAGGCTTTGGGGTCAGCACTGAAGTCACACATGGAAGGCTCACAGCACAGCGGGAATGGGGACCCCCAGGGAGGCTTTAATGGCATGGGCCTCGAACCAGAAACATTTTAAAATAATTTTTAAAAAAAGAATTTAGAGAACAAGTAGAGGGTGGCTGTTTTTGTCTAGCTAAAGACGCACAGAAAGTGGGTTGGAGATTTAGCTCAGTGGCACCATGGCTGCCTCAGAAGCACAAGGTCCTAAGTTCAATTCCCAGTACCACCCCCCAGACCACTCACAAGTCACGTGAGGTCGGCATGTCGCTCCGAGCCCCCGGCTTCCGGGCCCCCGGCCGGGCAGTCACATCCCTGCCTCGTCCTTCTCTTTGCACAGGAACTTGGACATTTAGCTGTGCCCTGCTCATCCAATGTATACCTGGTTTGTGTTTGAAAATAGAATAACCCTAAAAAAGGCACGAGCTGCACTAGCCCCTTAAGAGCAAATACAAAAGTAAATCTTTCTTCAGTCTTGGACTTGTCTTGCTTTGTTTTATAAAGGAAATCAAACACCTCTTGCTCTGTTCTGATCTTAAAAGATTTCCCAAAGCAGATATGAGGAACACTCAGCAAGCTATCCGTGAGTCAGCAGCTGCCAGATTTCCATTTTTCATGAGGGAAAATAGAAACGAACCTCAGGCTGTCTTGTCCTTTTGCAGCCACCTAGGTGACTCAAGTTTGCTCACAGACAGGCAAATGAGATGTAAATAATTCCAAAGCAGCCCACCTATCAGCTCAGCAGAGCCATTTGGGAGGGGCCAGAGGACCCCGGGGCTCAACTGTTGTGTGTCAGAGCAAGAGAGATGCTGGCGGGCAGGTCACATCTGTGTGGCCTGTCACAAGGGCAGCCCCCACCTTCCCTTTTTCGAGTGCTCCCTGCCGTATGTGTGAGGCTGACCACCTGCTACGTTCTGGGCCTCTCAGCCCTCTCAAGGTCCGGGTCGGTGGTGTGAAGCTGTGACAGAGGTGACCCTCGCGCTTCCTGCAGCTTGGCCTCAGGGAGTCAAACAAGTTGGCCACTGTGCGTCCAGGGCACCAGGGAAGACGATCAAGCCCCCAAGTCCTGACCATCCTGCTGTGCTCTTCATGAGCTGGGCGATCTGGCCCCTTCCTGCCCAAGAGTTTTGAGACCAAAGGTGCATTTGTTTGATGGGTTTGGTTTGAGTTTTTCTTTCCCCAAAATTACCATTCAAGAAACGTCATGTGCATCTACTCTCAGGCGCAGGGACTTCCCTCGGGCTGTCTAGCTGCCCCTCTCTGAGGGTGTGCTTGGCCTGCCCTTCCCCACCCTGGGGCCTGGGGCCACCCCAGGGCCACCGGATGTGCTACTGAGCCCACCACAGCCCTGGATGCTCTCAAGAGGGGCAGCTGCTGCCAGGGCACCCTTGCCTGGGTCCCAGCACAGCTGCTCAGGCCGGACACTGTCCCCACGACCCAGTGTAGGGACAGCAAAGAGGGGTGCAGCTGAGGCAGTGAGAAGAGTCCAGTGATAAGGCCTCCACCGAGAAGCTGTCCGGGTAGGGGACAGGCATATTTCACTTACCACTCTGTTCCCCTGCTTTCTCTCTGCTAAAGACATAGGTGTGTGGCACTCCTGCTGGGGTCCCCAACACTCTAGGGCCACCGCAGGCAACATGGTGATGCGATCCAGGTCACACCCTCAGGTGAGCACACCAAAAATGTATCAGCATTTTAAATAACATAAAAATAAAGGAATAAACACAGTTTTTCTCCCTGGCAACCTCCTTCCAGAGGATGCTGAACAGCTTAACA